TTGTAGAATTGGTGCACTTTCTGAATTTGATGAAAACTTCTTTCATTAGTATACCTAGTACGTAAGAGTCTTCGAATAAAGATCAATAATGTTGGATTTTATTTCGAAGGCTGTTACGTACTAGGTATGCTAATGAAATAAATTTTCATCAAATTCAGAAATTTCACCAATTCGACAACAATTTCATTAATAGTTATAAGAATTATTTCACCATTCTAGTCTAATTTCAGCATCTTTAGCTGTTACAGACATCGCATATTACCGAATAAAAGCAACAAAAATGGTTTCGAGCCAAAGTGAAGAAGCTTCTAATCGGTTATAAATTATAAATTCATTGTGTAATATTATCAATTAAAAAAAATCACGTGTGAATTGCTACATTTTCTTATCAGGGTTAAGATTTCCGTTTTATGAGACAAAGGTTGTTATTTGTTATTGTGACGCGACTAACACAATATGTTAAACAACCTTGCTCTTTGTTCTGATAAAACTTCACATAATATCCTTTCAAGCTGTTTTTTTTATTACTATTATTATTATTATTTTTTTTTTGGCAAATTTTTTTTTTTTGCCTTTACATTCTTTAATAAATTCCATAATTCTTCAAAAATGGAGGTCGCTACCACACAGTACGAAGCTTTAAAATCATTTCTTGAAATACATCTCGCCAACGGTATGCTACAGTTTTGCGGTTAAAATATCTCGTGGATTCTGTCAATTTACTTGTGATATTATGAATGAATTAGTAAAAGATACATTTTAACTTTATTCTTAGAAAATGCCGATGGTTCGAGAGCAGGCGCGAAAGAAAAATTAAATAAACTAACGCAAGTTCAATTCTATGAGCTTTCCACGGATGTGTATGACGAGTTGACTCGTCGACAAATGAACTCGAACGAAGGTAAATAAATGATAATTTCGTTTTGCATTATGGCCTTTTCAAAACAAGTCGTAATTAAAAGATACGAAAATCAGGAATTGACAAGCTAATGATATTTATTTATCTGCATTTTAGCCCCATTTCTTCCAGTGCGCGATGAATTTCATCCCAAAAGAAATCAAGCGCGACAAAAGTTGGCTACATTACCCACGACACGCTTTAAAGACCTGGCAGTTGATATTTATTACGAACTAGAAAGACGCCATCCTGAATTAAAAGATATGAGGGTGATTATTTATTTCCTCTATTTAATAAAATTCAAAAATCAATCCATAAATTAATTAATTGATCAAAATTATTGGTTTAATTAATTATAAATAGTTTCCAAAGCCTACACCACAGTATTATCAGCCAAATAATAAATTTAATGGTAATTATCAACCAGCAGCACCTGGACAAACTACAATTATTCCTAAAACCGGAACTGTGAAGCAGGAAAAAATCGATTTTCAAATCCAGAAACCTACCAGTCGACCAGGTGCTGACAATAATGTTGAAAGTAATCCAAAACCATACGTAAATGGTAATCATAGTAATATTCCAATACCGGACAGTATGCCACCAGAATATGGACTTTCAAGAGCACCAAGGAGTCGCTCCCAATCCACTACGTCTTCTGTGTCCGATATAGGACACCATTATATGAGCATGGCTAGCGTTACTAGCTCTTCAAGTAAAGGAACTAGGGATACGGTTAATAGCCAAAAATTAAATTTTGA